AGATCCTGTACTAAGACTACAGCAATAAACTGCATCAACAACTGTACCAGCCGTCACAGAATATTGTTGTTGCAGACAAACACACTGTCAAATCAAGAAATAGGTTGGGGGTTAGGCAGTTCATGAAAGCTAGATGACCTACTATGTGGGGAATAAATCTGTGGGTTGCTGCAGACAATCTAATGGTTATATTGCGACTTTGAAATTTATACAGGAAGAAGTCCAGATATTCATCCCAACAGATTTGGGTATGATGTGGTGATCTGATATCAGTTTGGTTACAGTCTTAGGTCTTTTGTAGTACAATATAAAGGAAATATTTTCACCACATAATCCAATTATGTGCTTTGGCAAACATTACTGCTTTAGCAAACATTACTGCCTTGGAAAACATTATTTTTTTATAACTACTAATTATGATGATGCCAGCCCAACAACACTTGGTCATGCTATTTGCAAATATTTTCATGTTCTAGATTGTGAAAACAATCAATTTCTAAACAAATGAGTAGTGATTATTTCAAATTTGAATAGCATGACCAAATTTTGAGGCTGGTTATGCCACTAATAACTAAAGTCAATGGTGTAATAATTATCTAAGAATGTATGTAGTAATTGTAGAAATAAAGACATTTTGCTAATCATGATTTGAGTGTTCTTTTGTGGGTATCACAGACTTATTTTGGTGCCATACTATCTTTGGAGAGTAAGAAATATTGGAAATTTGTATTGATAACATGTTGGAGCAATAAAAAAGGACCTTTGATAAAGGTATTTGTTTCATGTGAGCACAAAATGTAAATTTTACTCCACTACCTAGTTTATATAAAAATTCAATAAAAATATTTCTATTTATGCTACATGCATGAAACTTCGGGTACTTGTACATCATAACCGTGTCTTTCAGTCATATTCATAAAATTTTTTGACATATTTGAAATTTGAACCGCTAAATACATTTATGCATAATTGCAACATTTTTTTATATCATAATTTATGCAAATTTATGCGAGTAAATCGTTAACCAAGCTCCGGATGAAATTGAAATTGGTATTGTTGGAAAGCGGAAGTCCTCCTCTTTCGAACGATGCAATTTCCGTTTCCGTGCGATGTATAATTTGAGAGATATAAGCGTTTGAAACAACACCACTCGAAATTGGCACTTTTCGACCGGATGAGAATGAGTTAAGAACTTTATTTGCCTTTAAAAGGCAAACTTTATATATATATATATATATATATATATATATATATATATATATATATATATATATATATATATATATATATATATATATATATATATATTGCGAAATTTGCAATTTTCAGTCATTTTAGATTACAAACCGGAAATTGACAGCCTCGAAGGGTTTGGGGCTGTCAATTTCCCGTTTGTAATCTAAAATGACTGAAAATTGCAAATTTCGCAAGGCCATATTTTCCGCATTTTACCACATTTTGCAACGAAACTTTGGAATATTACTAATTTTGTGATGCTCCTTCAAGCTGTGATGAAATTTTTGTCTAGACTTGTTTAGTTCAAAATTTAGTCTATTACGCAAATGGTCAATTGATAGCTTAGTTTGAATGGAAGACTCCAGCTATAGACTAAATTTTGATCTGGGCAAGAAGAACAAAATCCATCACCACAGCTAGAAAGAGCGTGTTAAAATTAGTAAAATTGCAAAGCTTGGTTGCGAAATGTTGTAAAATGAGGAAAATATAGCAGTACAAAATTAATTTGTTTTACGCACGGGAAAATGCACCATTTTCGGACCAAACGTGGATTTTGTTCTTCTTGCCTAGATCAAAATTTAGCCTACAGTTGGAATCATCCATTCTTTGGCAACCTGAAAAGTTGCTTCACCACGATGAGAATCAAACCAACAAACCTTTGGCTTGCTAGTCCAACAGCGGTAAAGATACTAACAAACCCAAGCTACCCATTTTAGTGGTAAAGATACTAACAGACACTAACAGACCCCAAACTACCCATTTTAGTGGTAAGGATACTAGCAGACCCAAGCTACCCATTTTAGTGGTAAAGATACTAACAGACCCCAAACTACCCATTTCAGTGGTAAAGATACTAGCAGACCCAAGCTACCAAACTACCCATTTTAGTGGTAAAGATACTAGCAGACCCAAGCTACCCATTTTAGTGGTAAAGATACTAACAGACCCCAAACTACCCATTTTAGTGGTAAAGATACTAGCAGACCCAAACTACCCATTTTAGTGGTAAAGATACTAACAGACCCAAACTACCCATTTTAGTGGTAAAGATACTAGCAGACCCAAGCTACTCTTTTTAGTGGTAAAGATACTAACAGACACTAACAGACCCCAAACTACCCATTTTAGTGGTAAAGATACTAGCAGACCCAAGCTAACCATTTTAGTGGTAAAGATACTAGCAGACCCAAGCTACCCATTTTAGTGGTAAAGATACTAACAGACCCATGCTACTCATTTTAGTGGCAAAGATACTAGCAGACCCAAGCTACCCATTTTAGTGGTAAAGATACTAACAGACCCCAAGCAACCCATTTTAGTGGTAAAGATACTAACAGACCCCAAGCAACCCATTTTAGTGGTAAAGATACTAACAGACACTAACAGACCCCAAACTACCCATTTTAGTGGTAAGGATACTAGCAGACCCAAGCTACCCATTTTAGTGGTAAAGACACTAACAGACCCCAAACTACCCATTTTAGTGGTAAAGATACTAGCAGACCCAAACTACCCATTTTAGTGGTAAAGATACTAACAGACCCAAACTACCCATTTTAGTGGTAAAGATACTAGCAGACCCAAGCTACTCTTTTTAGTGGTAAAGATACTAACAGACACTAACAGACCCCAAACTACCCATTTTAGTGGTAAAGATACTAGCAGACCCAAGCTAACCATTTTAGTGGTAAAGATACTAGCAGACCCAAGCTACCCATTTTAGTGGTAAAGATACTAACAGACCCATGCTACTCATTTTAGTGGCAAAGATACTAGCAGACCCAAGCTACCCATTTTAGTGGTAAAGATACTAACAGAC